GAACCCTTAGCAACACCACTGGGATGCCCTGTTTGGGTGCTGCCAAATGCAGAAGCCCGAGATGGCCAAAGCTGCCAGGGCTCCATGTCCCCAGCTTCAGCCAGCAGCAAGGCTGAGCGTGTAACCCCAGGAGGCACACATACACCCCAAAATGGTAGATGGACAATTAGACAGATGATACACAGCCCTTTTCATACCCTTATCCCTCTATTTTTCCCACATCTGTGGCTCTCCAAACCACCTTTACCCCTCCTTTGCTTCCTCCCCCTGAACACAGAATCATAGAATAGCTAGGGCTGGAAAAGACCTTAGGATTATCTAGTTCCAACCTCCTGACATGGACAGGGACACCTCACACTAGATCATGTCACCCAAGGCTCTGTCCAACCTGGTCCTGAACACTGCCAGGGATGGAGCATTTACCACTTCTCTGGGCAACTTGTGCCTGCGCCTCACCACCCCCACAGGGAAGAACTTCTGCCTTACATCTAACCTGAACTTCCCGTTTGTGTTTAAACCCAACACCCCTTGTCCTATCACTGCAGTCCCTAGTGAAGAATCCCTCTCCAGCATTCCTGTAGGCCCCCTTCAGATACTGGAAGTTGCTCTCAGGTCTTCACACAGCGTCCCTTCTGCAGGCTGAACAGCCGCAACTTTCTCAGCCTGTCTTCATATTGAAGGTACTCCAGCCCCTGATCATCCTCGTGTCCTCTCTGGACTTGCTCCAACAGCTCCATGTCCTTATGCTGTGAACACCAGAACAGCCCGTAATAACTCTTGTATAATCCCAAAATGCTGTTCCCCTGCATCCCATACTGTGTCACTCACCCCTAGGCAGTCACCCCCCATCCAAGAGGTGATCTGGAGAGCTGCCCCACTTGACCATCATGAGTGGTGCCACCTCTGGACACATGGACAGCCCAAGGAGCATCTGGGTCAGAGAATCCTTGGCACTGTGGAGGTTCCCTGGGCTCCTTCACCTCTCGTAATTCCTCTGCTTCTCTCCATTCATGGAGATGAGCTTTTAATTACAAAACTTAATGTTGTCTCATGGTGGGGGGGGTGGAGGGACTCCCTGCCTGCCAGTCCTGGTGGATGTTCCTGGCGGGAAGCCTGCATCCACCAGCCCCAAATTATGCACCCATGGAAGATGCCCTGTAAGAGCCATCCCACAGAGACCTTTCCAATAGGAACAGTGTGCCTTCCCCAACACACCACTTCTTCCTGCAACAGGTCTGATCACTCTGTCTCCTGCCACTGCAGCAATTCCAGGAAACCAGACAGAAAAGACCAGCATTAGCACCTGTCCCTATCAGCCCTGTGCTCTCTTTCTCCTCTCTGTGCCAGCCCACATCCCATCCTGCTCCAGAGTGCCCCTTGCAGCAACCTCAGGAGACCCACAGCCCTCAGCACTGGAATTACCTTGACCCTGCTAGCCCAGGACACTGAGGCTGAGGTGCCATAGTGGATTTCTCCTGCCCCAGGGGGCTGCATCCAGCCAGGCCCCAGCTGCTGCAGCTCACTGCAACTCCAGAGGAGCATCTTCAGCTCTGCAGGGCCTGGAGGAAACAAACATGAGGTTGTGAGAGGGGCCAGACATGGGGATGTGGCTTTAAGAGGGGTTGTCAGGGATGCAGCTGGAGCTCAGGCATGGGATGCAGCTCTGGGATGTCAGGATGGACCGTTCTTGAGCATGACAGTGATCCTTGAGTATCAACCTCCTTTCTTGGGCCTCCTTCCCAGGGCCTTATCCCATTGGACTGTATCAAGCAGATAGCTAAAGGGGCCAAAGCGTGCTCTCCTGAAGTCCAGCACTGTGATTTTGACTTTTGCCCAGCTACCTCCCCTCTGGACCCTGAACACCATCTCATGGTAACTGCAGCCAAGGCTACATTTGGCCTTCACATCCCTCATGAGACCTTCCTTGCTGGCAAGTATGAGATCCAGAAAAGCACCTCTCCTCATTAACTGCTGTATCACTTGGAGAAGGAAACTGTAATTGATGCTCTCCAGGAACCTCCTGGATTGCTTATGCCCTCCTGTGTTGTAATACCAGCATGTATCAGGGTGGTTAAACTCTCCCCATGAGGACCAGGGTCATGCTTCCAGTGAGACTGCTTTCAACTGTCTGTAGGCAGCTTCATCCACTTGTCCCCACAGCACCCCAGATCTGGGCCCAACAGCAAGTAGCACGCTTCTCCTAACAAGTCAAGTCATACCCTGCAGCAGGGGCTCATCCACAACTATAGCTTGCTGCTTCCTCCTTGCATGGTTTGATCTGGTCTGCCCAGACAACTCATTTGAAAGCACACCCACCTCCTCCTCAGCTTTGAGGACAGTGAACCTGTTCCACTGCTGCAAGCCTTCAGGTGGAGCAGGAGCCTCTCTCTCAGTGGCAGAAGTCACCAGCTTCCGGCCCTTGCCTTCCCTGCAGTTTCTACTTACAATCTGCTACAGACTCTGCCTGTCACCCCGTTACAGCTGAGGTCCACAGATCTTAAAGCACACGGTCTGAGAAGATATTGTCTTTCTGGTGCTCCCTGACACTGCTTACCCTGCTGACTTTCCTGTAACTGCTCCACATAGTAATGCAAGTCTCCAATACCACCACCACACCTCCAGCAGCGAAGACCCCCTCTGCCAGCCTCAGGGGGAGGCCCCAGGCACTCCCAGGCACACCCTGGGACTTGTAGGGTTTCATCCACCATCCAAAACCTGGGTTGAAGCCTCTGCCCAGGCAGTGACAGCTGCTCCAACACCTGCTTGAGAACACACCCTGTGCTCTGCCACCATCACACCTGAGAAGATTAAGGTTGGTCTGAAGCAAGATGAAGCCCCCTTCTTTGCACCCTTCTGCATCAGTTATCTACACTCTCAATTCAGCTGCAGCTCAGCCAACTTGCCATTCATCCTATAGTCCACTCATACAGGCCCATCTCCTCAGTGAGGCTGCAAGATCATACCAGACAATACTGAAAAGTGTAAGTCAAAGAAAGTTATTCCTACTGTTCTCATATTGTCCACCAAGGCAACTACTGCACACAGAAAGCAGACATGCTGGGCACAGTGGAGAACCCCTTAGACCAAGGTGCTCCAAAGCAACACCAGCTCCAGGGTGCCTCAAGTGCTGCAGATATAAAAGCATGCACTGAGCATTTGTATTCAGCTAGGTAGCTGAGAAAGGAGACCAGGACAGCCTGCCAGGAAAACTGGGTATCAGGAAAAAAGCAGCAGGCAGTAGAGCTCAGGAGGATATGGTGGAAGCTTGGATACAGAGGGGTAGCTACATGGTAGGAGGTGTCCCAAGCTGAAGAGGGATAAATAAAAGAAACACAGGCATGGAACTAGTTAAAGAGAGGAGGCAGTGAACATTAGGTAAAAACACGTTTGATAGGTACTTATTCCCAAGAAGGTCAATATACCGCATTGAGGTTTCAGTCACATCTCAACTCTGCTCACACCTGTTCTAGGGATAAAAGCACCAACGACTGTTCTCAGAAAAAAAACCCAGCCCTTCAGCTGCTCTTTTTCACCAGCAAATTCAACTTGCAGCTTCCCCGTAGAGCTTTGGAGGTTGTTTTGGGGGGGAGTAGATACAGTCTCTTGCAAGATCAAAGCAGGAGATACCCGTACCCTTGGAAAATTCTGATCTCCACAGATCGATGTGTTGGATTTACATGGCAAGGCTGGGATGCTGCAGGGGTGGCCTTGGCTGAGCAACCAAAGTGGCTTTACAAAATTTGCACCTCTGTAAAAACGTATTTAAGAAAGGACAAAATGCTGCCCAGAGTGAGGAAAAGAAATATGGAAGAAACAATCCTGCTAACACTAAGAGCAGAGCCGGAGTGGCAGGATACGCTGCCAGCAGATTTCCCTGCAGCCCATGGAAGTGAAACTGTAGCAGATATCCAGAGGAGCCCCTGCCAGAGCAAGCAGGTATTCCTGGAAGGAACTGCAGTTCACAGACAGCACACACAGGAGCAAGTCTCTCCTGACTGCCATGTGCTGTGAACACAACCATCTTCCTTAACAACAGCTTCAGGCCTAGTCAGAGAGGGGGGAAAAAAGCAGACTAATCTGCAAGAGGAATCTATAAAGTAGGATTATCTGAGCATCATTAATACTGTGCACAAAAACTCTCCAGCATTTTTTTTCCTTTGGTCAGGAAGAAATTTTAGCATGAGTTGAATCAGGTTAGTAAGATCTCCTTGAGTTTAGGTAACACCATCTATCCCTCACAAAGAATGGAGGCACTTGCTCCTAATTAGCAAAATGGATGTCACTAGCAACTCCTCAGCTAACCAAGGCCATAGCAGACAACTCCACTGTCTGCGTAAGCAACAGTGATCAGCAACACTAAAGCTCTAACAAATCCATTTAACCTGTTTTAGTTACTTACATGTACCTTTACACTGAGCAATGAAACTATTCTCTCCCTTACCCAGCATAATCTCCTGATTTACCTGGCCCATTAGGCAAAGGGTTTTGTAATACAAGTTAATAATCACATTAGCATCACTGGAATGTTGTGCAATTATGCTATGTGATAGGTCAAACTGGTTTTCGGATTAAGGAGCTAAACCCCAAGTAAGCACGCACACGAAAGAACAGGGCAAACCAGCTTAAGTACAAGAACACACCACCACCAGAGTCAGATTTCCAGTGCAAACTACCATCACTGCAGGGCTCAGTGACACTAACATATGATCTACCTCAGCACAATTCACCTCATAATGCAGCCAACCAGACTTTCTGCTGCTACAACAGCGTCAACGTATCAAAATGGATTTTAGAGAAAGAGGCAGCAAGAAGCACTGGCTTATACAATGAGTCATGACTTCTCTGGAGCAACCTGAGCACTACTTCAGGCTCTTTGTCCCATGTGCCTTCAGTCAATACCTAGCAGTCTGCATTGTCAAAAGAAGTTTTGGAAATAAGAAACAACAGCTCCCTTCCATACATTACAAACCACATTTGTCAGATTAACATACACAAAACAAGCAGTTTTACCAAATGGTTTATATACATTGCCAAGCATCAAAATACATCAGTTTCAAGGCCTTATTTAGGTACTGCTGCCTCCTCCAGTGTTCTTTCCAGAAGCTCCTGTCTTCTGCAGCCGGCTTGCACTGGGTTGCCGAGGCATCCTCTGGGCAGATCCTTCTCGGCTGCTTCTTTCTGCTAGAACCTGGGTCCCGCTGACAGCAGAACTGCTTTTATTTCTCCCTGAATAAACAAACACATACATTAATTTTCAAGTCCCGATCCTACATGTCACCCAGACCACATGCCTTCAGAAGTCATGCACAAGGCAAAATTGCAATAGATGTCGCAAATGTATCCAGTATCAAGCACAGAAGCTGAATTTGTGAATTCAGCTCAGAGGTATCAGGGTCACAAAACCAAAACAAGTTGCAGTAGAAGCATACTTAATTTTCATCAGGTTTAATCTGTAAAATAACCAGCTACTTCATTTTTTAAAACCTTGCTTTCATTTGGTGTAGGAACACCAGCACTGCAAACAGCACTTCAGGAAGAACATGAAGAGTATCTAACACCTCAGGATGGGAGTAAGTAAACTGATGTGTCAGTGTCCACCAGTTTCTGAGGCCTGCAGGCACATTACTGGATCAGAAACCCTCCTCTTCATGTCATGCTGTAACCTGATGGGCAAGTATGGATTCCCTATAATTTTCTGGGGTTTCCAGGAGCTCAGACTCCTACACAGGACTTAGAAATTTTCTTACTGTGTTCAGAAGATAAGAATTATCCTTTTGTAGGCACAAATGACTATCCCTAAACTACAACGTGACAGCAGAGAGAAGCAATGGGTAGAAAGGTAGAAGATGAGCAAGGCAAGGGGCATGTAGCTCACCCTGCTCGATTCAGCCAGAGGAAAGAGGAACAGACTATGGTATGGTTCAAACAAATGACCGGAGGGGATAAGTGAGGAAGACTGACTTTTCCTGGCACTGGACAGAACTACTTCACATTAGAAGTAGGACTCTCATTAAGAAAGACAGTAAAAATAAAAGGAACATGAGGCAAAATGGTCACAGCTTTTAGTAAGGGTAGCAAGCTCCAAGAGGCATCATGAAAAATTATTAACAGCAAGAAGGAAACAAAGCACAAGAATACAGTGAGCTGCAGTTACTGTAGTTATATGCATTCAATTAAATGAAGAGTGACATTTTAGCAACCGTTATCAGAGCAACTTCCAGAATACCAACAGCTACTCCACACACTGAAGTCTCCACAGGCATGGTTTGGAAATCATCATCTTGGATCATCTGTGCTACGGACAGCAGCAGGCTGGAGCTGTGTCTGTTTTACTTACCAAACCATCCTGTCTCCTTGGAGCAGCTGAGAACAGGACCCACATGAATAACACAACACCTTGCAGCACCAGAAAGACAACTCAAGAACTTCCAAGTAAGAGCATGTGGCCACTTCATATCTGTAAAATTTGACAGACTAGGGTAGCAAAATACGTCCACTTACCCCAGCCGAGTCATGTGCTCTTAAAAAAGTCCTTTTTTGTAAGCCACACTGTAATCTGCCAGCAGTTATTACCCCAAGCCAGCCAACCAGACTTGCAATCTTTCTTTGCAGCTCAAGCACTTTAAGCAGTTTCACTAATGCAAGTATTGCCCATGAACACAAATTGCACAAAGGTAATACATTATCTCATGGTATGCAAGAGAAAAACTAGCAGGAAAAAAAAAGCATTATAGTTCACCACGATGCTTTTAGCAATCCAGGACATCTCCACAGGTGAATGCCCTCCGTTTTCTCACATGCATCTACCCAGTAAGAGTACAGGTCCTCAGACTGTGTACAACTCTAACTACCTGCACACATAAAACAACTGCACCATTAAGGACTACTAGTAGTCAGACCCTTGGTCTTCTGATCTAGCTGAAACAAGCTGGGGAGAAAGAATCACTTTACTGAGCAGAAGCTGCGCTCAGACAAAGCACATGACATCCGTCCTCTTAGCCTCAAAATCACAGTAAAACAAAACAGTTACTTCAATAGCAGAAAAATCAACTCTGTTTTTGGAAGCATGACCCGTGAACCAATCAAGAATAGCTCATGAAGTGCATGAGGACAGGCATGGTTTGTACAATTCTACCAGTTAAAACACTATCAGAGATAACAGATCCAATTAACACAAAGCACAAAATCAGCTGAACATCCACAAACTGTACAATTCAAGTACCACAGATGAACAAAAGGATTCCACTGGTATTTTCCTTGGTGACACAAGATGTCCTATGTGTCTGATTGTCATAGAACAACTGCAGCTCAAATAGCTACAGATGCAAGAGACAAGCCAAAAGAGAGCCGTATCATATACCTCCTTCCCCAAAGATGACTCCAGAAGAAGCAGCTATGTGTTTATCTCCTCTAGAGCCAGGCATAGTTTGAGAAGAATGGGATATGCATGCAAACAGCAGCAGAAGTGTGCCCAACCCACCTCTGAGTGCTGGCTCTCCCATTTAGAAACAGCAGCGCCCACTGTGATCAGGCTGCTCACTGAACACAATGATGCTCATCACCTCAACAAAACCAAGACAAAAAAAGCTACGGTCACCTCTAGAAGACCACCACAAGATACTGGGATAGGAGTCTGCAAGGTGGCACACAGCAAGAAGACAAAGCCTTAAATAGCAGACAGAAGAAGCAGCACTTTCTTGTGTCAAGCAGGAGGCAAATAAAGACCGATCAGATTTAGGAAAGGAAATCCAACCCCGAATTTGCTTTCACAAGTGGAAATCTAAAGCTCTGCTTTTTCAGTCTCCTCTACTCAACCTACTGTTTTCCCCAGGGGAAAACAGGGACTACAGTTTCCCCCAGTAACAGGGACTACAGATTTTCCTCCCACTCGCAAATAAATAAATAAATAAATAAATAAATAAAGTGCTTTTGATACATTTATTTATAACACAGTCAGGCATATCAGGGCTGCAGCCATCTCAAAATATCTCCTGTCATGCATATTGGCAGTGACTATGGGCTAGAACAACTGCAGGGGTACTTTCACATTCTCAAAAATCCTGCTTCCTGTTTCTGTCTCACAGTAGGGCTTTTGCTGGGCATAGTAAACCAGCCAGCCTTTCCAAACAAGCTTCAGGTGTAAATAATAAATGCCTTGTAAGAGCAAAGTCCCTCCTTTTCGCAATCACTATGTGTTACCTAGAGGCTTAAAGAGACACCTTTTGCCTGATCATCCAAACTGTGCATAATGATGTGACTCACTTCAAATCTCATCACCTCCTGACCATGGAAAAACCTGGGATACAACTAGGCTCCACTCCCCAAAGCGGTCCCAGTATGTGACTGTGGCTCATTATACTCAATTTTTTTCCAGACTGCCAGGTTTGCCCTGCTCTCATCTCTACATAAATATCACAATTAGCCCTCTTTTGTAATACAAACTGGGAGGTTCTCAGATCTTCAAAGCTGCTGCCATATCCTGAACAGCTAATATACTCCCTCCAGAGCCAAAACATCACCCCTGCTCAACAGTCTCCCTAACAGAGTAAAGTAGCAGGTGAGACTGGCAAAATGTCTCAAGAAATCCAGCTGAACTGTTTTGAAACAGGGGAAGAGGAGGGAAAAGGAAAAAAAAAAAAAAAAAAATGGAAAAAGATGGTTTTCAAATGCACTTTCCAAATAAGTTAACTACTTTCCAAATAACTAAGACCTTAAGTATGCATTAAGCAGAGGGTAATTATTTAAGCACACATTTTTCTCTTGCAAACTGTCATCTGAAGAGAAGGATTTGGAGAAAGAAGAGAATACAAAGTAAGAGGGTACCTACACAGGCCCACGAATCACCTGCACAGAACTTAAGACTCTTCTCCAGCAAGCCTGTTTCTTCCAAACAGGTTTGGTATTCAACAGTTTTACTAGGTTATCACTACAGAAGTCCCACATCCTATTCAAGATACTGATGAGACTCCTTAAGTGCTCAAATATCTCCGTTTCATATATCAGGTAAGAACCCTCCAAACAAGATGACTGAAGGTGGTTTAATATACAAAACAATTCCCTCCTTCCAGAGCAGAGGTCTGTATTAGTCTTATCAATCTGACAGTCATTTTCCAAGGCAACTCTCTGAAATAATACTTCATTCTCATCTACACGATGGATGGATTCTCTTTTTACTCTAATATCTGTGTTACTTCGGGAGGCTGCCAACTTAGCCACCTATGAAGTGTTTGGTCTACTGAAGACAAAGTTTTTGTTCACCTCTCCTGCTCTTTTGAGTGATGGCTCCCTTCAAGGAGAGCCATAGGAGCTCCTCTCTCATTCACTGATAAAGATGACATGCACTAGCCATTTCCCTACAAATCCTCACATCTTCCTGGTTGCTCCTCATTTTACTACTTTTCACCACCACACTTACGACAGTGTTATCTCCTGAGACAAAGCGAGGCTGGGTAAGTGGAAGGGGAGTACCAGAGGAATGCATGGCAAGCAAGCTGTACCCAAGAGTGATGGCAGACACTGTGGGCCCATACAGCAATAGTCATCATTCCAGAAGTCTGACTACAGCTGAAGATGGACAACACAGAGAAAGTGCAAGAAATAAGCAGTAAGAAGAAGATGAAGAGAAGACTACAAAAACAAGGATGGCAAAAGGAACACACAGAGAGGACAAAGTTGGCAACAAGCTACACAGTAGTCAGAGGGACATTTAGGAAATAACTGTGCAACGGCACTTAGAAAAGACCTTGATCATACCTAAGTATCTGCACAGGAAGAAAGTTGTTACAAATCCAGGGGCACAGGAGGACTTATGAGTCTCAAAAGCATATTCTTACACAGACAAGAAAAACACACCCTGCAAACTCTTCCCCGAGCCCATGACTTCCCCAAGCTCAGTGGCTTTTCTAACGGGCACCTAAATGCGACACAGCGTTTCTCGGGGTAGGAAAGCATTCTGACCCCTGCTATGCAGAATAGGAAGCTGCAATGGTTCCTCACAGCCTTAAAATCCATAGACCAGGTGAGAGCCCCACAGTGGAGACAGAACTTTGAAAAGCTAATCAACACTTTTAGCATGAGAAATAAGCTGGTGCAAAGCTTTGGGATGTAACTTTATGGAAGACACTTGGGCTAGGACAAAACCAACGCCACCATCCCAAGGGGCATGCACACTTCCTCCTCACACCTAAATGCCTAAACCTTCTCTTCAAAATCAGCTTTCTCCCTCCCAGATAAATAACTGTCAAGGAACCGTTCGGAATGCAGCTTGCATTATCTTGTATCTGTATGCCAGATTGTCCTGAGTTCAGCAGTAGCAGTCATTTTTTTCCTTCTTAGTAGCTGGTGCAGTGCAGTGTTTTGACTTTCGGCCTGGGAACAGAGCTGATAGCAATGTTTTGGTGAGCTGATAGCAAGGACTTTGGGAGCCTCATGCTCTGCCAGGGAGGAGGGGAAGTCGGGAGGAAGCAGAGACAGGACACCTGACCCAAGCTAGCCAAAGAGGTATTCCATACCACAGCACGTCATGCCTGGGGGGGAGTTAGCCGGAAGGGCTGGGAGACGGCATCGGTCAGAGCATGGTCGGGCTGGGGGGGGGGAAGTTATCGGTCGGCTGGTGGTGAGATGTCATATTCTCTTCCCTTGTTATTTCCTTTATCATTATTATCATTGGTGGTAGCAGTAGTGATTTGTGTCATACCTTAGCTACTAAACTGTTCTTATCTCAGCCCGTAGGAGTTGCATTCTTTTTGATTCTCCTCTCCGTCCCTCTGGTAGTAGGGGGAGGGAAAGAAGGGGAGGAGTGAGTGAACGAGTTGCCTGACTGGGTTTAAACCACAACACAGATGGATGCTCCAGTACACAACACAGTAATTTGGAGCCAGTTATCATGAATTCAGTTACCAGCAAACACAGCTCCATGCAGAACACCATGGTTACATTCCATGGGAAGATGCCAAATAAAGTCATTCATATGAGACTCTCTGTTGCTTTAGCTGTTAAAAACAGCTGACATAACTACCAGGGCACCCCTGAACACCAATAATGTTGTTCAGAAATGCTGTAACAGTCTTTTTTTAGCTGCTTTAAAAAACCTCCCTGCACCACGATCGGCTGAGAAGCCAAAGCAAGTGTTGCATCATTAGTGCTAAAATTTGACCACAGCAGGCTTGCCTGATCTTTAGTGAGACCTGGATTACTTCAGCCACTTGTCTGTCTTCAACAAAGGAGAAAGCATAGGATAAAGAGTAGATACACAGAGCTGAAGGACACTGTGCAAAGCAACTTGGCAAGCTTATATAGGACAACCACTGTTTGGTTTTTTTTATCAGCACAAGGAGCTCTGGCTTTATCAGCACACACAAGTCCCAGCTATGCAGAGGGTGCATCTCCCAACTCCAAATGCCCAGTCCTGCATGGAGGCAGCACCATCTCCCTCTTAAATGGAAGCAGCATCTTCCCACGAGATGGCAGGGCCAAAAGCAAACATACCTTCCCTGCAGCAGCTCCTTAAAGGGAAAGGAGGTGAGGCAAGGCAAGGCAAGGCAAGCCAAACACTCTTGCAAAACAGATCCAGCCCAGAGGACACCCCCAGTAACCCTAGTAGCACTTACCCAACTCCTTAATGACTGACTTGGACTGTGCCCAAAACTAGAAAGCTCAATGACTGAGGAGACATTACTCCTCCTCTTCAATTTAAGCCAGCTGGTTGCTTCTTCAGCTGGAGGAAAGAAAATTACTCTGATAAAGATATACTGATTTTAATGGGATCTTTATTTCTGGAACACACTTTTCCCCAAAGGCTATGGTAAAACAAGATCCCATACTGAACTAGATAGTTCAAATCCTAATTCGGCCAAAGCGGGTCCAGTAAAACAGACAAGACTGGCACTGATGGCCCAGTTCTGCTTTAGATCATCACCAATTTCCACAAATTGAGAGATCTCTCTGGACACCTATCTGTGTTCATGACCTTCTGCCAGGAGTCCTACATATCCTCCTCAGACCCTCCAGGCACACTGCTCCAAGTGTCTACATGCACTGCAGAGTCGGACATAAGCTAGTAAAAAATTGCACAAAGCTGCAATTAAAGCTGCAGAAGCTTGTTCACTCGCACCAGATGCCTATCTTAGGTCAGGCCAGGCACTAAGCTAACACAGCCCCTCCTTTGACTGAATCACAGCAAGCACAGACACCTGCCTTCCATCTGAGAGGCTACAGAAACATTCCCACAAGAAGAGCTAGATAAAACATGCCCTCTTCTCAATACTAAGGAGATCTTACCAGTACTTCTTATACTCACAAGAATGAAGATGCAGGACTAAGGTTGTGACAGGCTGCTGCTAAGCTTATGTTCTGCTCAAAGAATTTTCTGAGGGAGTTACCTTTTCAATGGTGATTTTATTCACACAGGAATTAGCTGATGTCACTGGGTGCTGGGTGACAGCAAAGTCACTTGGGCTGATTAAAAAGAGAAGTTTTCATTCAAAATGAGTTACGGCGCCAATACAGCACAAGCTTCCCCAAAACAAAACCACACCAACATAGTTAGGGAAGACTAAACCTTCTGACAAGGCATGAAAGTGCTGCCCACCTGAATTTGGTCAGGACTGAGGGTGATGAAAGAGAAGAGGACGAAGGGCTCCTTTATCACCACATTACTAAGCACCAGCCTGCTAAGGGAGCAAATGCAAGCTCAGCATTTAATGTTTCACCATATGTCTTCAGTGAAACTGTGGCTTGATGGGCACAATCCTCCTGCCTCAGTAAGCTGCGTATGATCCAGCGATCTCAGTGCATCAGCTAGCCCTGAAGCTTATTTTAACATTGTGAAATAAAGCAGCAACAGGAGATGCTGAAGGCCAAACTAATAATGTGAATATTTACTATGAGCAACACAGAGCTAACATCATCTTTCTCTAAACTTCACTACACTTTGCCCTTGGAATGCTTCTCCCAGTGCACTTGAGAATATCAGCATGTCAATTTTGAAAGGAAACTATGGAGAGGAAAGTCTGGCTGGACACACTAGGCCTGAAATCTGACTTGGGCATCATCTTGGACCAATAGATGCTCAGCTAAATATGCAAAATGAGCACCCTGGAATGACACAGGCTTTTCCTCTTGAGGAATTTAACACTCATTAACAAGCAAGTTGCCATTAGACCATTTCACACCCGAGCCAGCCTACTACCAGCTAAAACTAGCTCATGGCAGTAGCCCATTGCTAGGAGTGTCTCATTTTTACAAGAAGTACCACACAAACAGCATACATGAGAGGATAAAAGCTACTTCAGATTAACAGACATACAGGAGCAAAAAACCTTACCAAAGCTGTTTCACAGTTTGAGTGGGCCATCACACCTGAAGCACCAACAAAGCAAAAATAGAAGAGAGCAAAATTTCACAGCATCTTTCCTTCAAAATTGGTGCTTTTCTCACATTTTTTCCTCTCAACATGGTACGCAAACAGCACGCTGCTGTACCTCCTCCTTTTTGCTGGCGAAAAAGGATTCAGCCAGGTGCCTTCTTGACAAAGGAGAACTTGTCCAGGTTTCTGTGGGGTCCTGGACAGTTTATCCACACACTCCAATTCCCATCTGGGCTTTAGCAAACTTTCTCAGAGTCTCTGTATAGCTGCTCCATGACGTAAGTCTCACTCACTTACCATGTGGGAATTCATACCCAGAGCAGGAGGCTCTGCTGTTGTAAGGGTGCCTCAGAGTGTGGCATAATAGTTCTTACCCTAAAACTGACTGCTTATAGTTGGCCTTTCTTACCTTTCACCTTCACTTTCTTCAGAACTTACCACCAAATGTAAAAGCACAGCTATGAGAATAAACAGCCCCTAACATCAAGGCAGCTTCAGCAGAGACTAAGCAGTAGTATACTACAATGAGTGGGAAACCTTACTTTCCCACACACTACCCCAGTTACCTTGCTGACAAAGCTTTCCTTTCTTGCCCCATTCTCTGTCTTCCCAGCTGACAGTTCCTTTCTAAAGCTTTGCCTCAAAATTCATCATGGGGCAGAGACCCATCAGCTACAACAGTTTTCACCCTGAAACAGGGAGAGCAAGGAAGAACAGGACATGGCAATATAATTCGACTTGACCTCATCCATTTCTAGGCTCCCGCTGGGTGAGACATTACTGGTAGAGCAGCAGGCTTTCAGCATGAGATTTTGTTCTTGTCAACCACAGACTATAATCACAAAACCTTTCTGTTTTGGCCACTGCCCCTTTCTACTGTTTATGAATACAAGACAAATGACAGCCTTTCTGCAGTGAATTTAAGCGTAATGACAGGCTTGTTTTAGTTACCTCTTTTAAAACCTTTTGGAATTAATCCACAGAGGTTGTAAGCTACCAGCTAAAAGTCACTTCTGGAAGTTCTGGGGTTCAGTAAAAGTTTTATTAGAACTGGTTTGAAATAAATATATATGGCTCAGCTTTAGGGCTACATCTGCTACTGCCCATCGAGATTAAGGCAATCACATAAGATAATTACATTCACAAGCAGTTGCTTTTCTGCCAACAATCCCCACAGAGCTGCGCATTTCACGTTCCCACCGAAAGAAACCTCTGGACAAGCTGCAGAAGCCACTGTGCTGTATGGGGATGGGGCAGAGGAAGCATCACCGCTCCTCTGATTTTCTGAGGATTCTTAATGTACCAGAAACTCCTCCTTTTGATTTGGTGGGTTGTTTTTGTTTCCTTTTCTTTTGCATTAGATACAAACAAAACAGCATTGTATAACACTGTGCACTAAGGGGTGGTTTGTTTTTTTTGTTGCTGCTAAAGTCACGGAGGCCTAGGCAGGAAGCTACAAAACCCAGCACAAGCGACCGCAGGAACCTCTCCCCGGCCACGCCGTACAGCTCCTCCACACCCGGCCCCTATGCTGCTACAAAAAATAGGAATTAAGACCAAAGGGTGCGCGCAAAGCCCCCGCCGGGCCCGGCTCCGCAGTTCACATCGAACGGGGACCCTGGAGGCCGGCCGAGACTCCCCGCGGGCCCGGCCGCCCGGCCCCCGGCCCCGTGGCGGGACGGGCGGCGCGGCCGGCAGGAGGCCAGGGGAGGCCGCGGGACACTGAGCAGGCGGTGGGGAGGCCACGGCAGAGGGGCAGGCGGGCCCCGACCCGCGGCGGCCGCAGAGCAGAGAGGGGGACCCGGCTGTCCTCTGGAGCTTCTGCGCAAGGAGACATGGGGTCAGGGCCCGCCGCCGGCCCTGCCCGCTGCCTACCTCGAGTGTCGGCGGGGAGCAGGGCCGGCGCGGCAGGAGGGCCGCCCTCGGGTCCCGGCGGCAGCCGCTGCCCGGCGCACATGGACTTCAGCACCTGAAAGACGGCGAGCGGCGCCACGTTCATGCGCAACAGGTCCAGCAGCACCCTAAGGGGACAGCGGGCAGCGACACAAAGGTCAGCGGAGACAGCGGCCAGCGAGAGTACCTGCCGCCCCTCCGCTTACCGGAACACCTCCGGGTCCAGCCCGCTACCCGCCGCCTGCGCTAGCTCGAACAACTCCGCCTCCTCCGCGCTCAGCAGCTGCTTCCGCCGCAGCCGCGCCTCCGCCATAGCCGCCACCGCCGCCATTCCCCCTCTCCGCCTCCGACGCGGGAGGGCCGCTCGCCGGCCCCTCAAGGCCCGGCCCCGCCCCGCGCGGCGCGGCCTCATCGCGAGCGTCCGCCGGCTGCTAGGCCCGAGCTCAGAGCGGCCCTGCCCTGCAACTCCCGCCAGCGCCCGGCAGGTGGCAGCCGCGCTCCAGCCGCAGCCGGGGTGGTTGGCGGCGTTCGGGGCTCCTTCATCCTCCTGCTCCCTCCAGGGTTCCTTTGCTCCCTCCCCCCGGCAGCTGGCGGCACCCCAGGCCAGTCGAACACCGCTCATGGTGATTTCACAGAAGCAGAATCACAGAACGGTTTGGGTTGAAGTTCATCCAGTTCAACCCCTGCCACGGGCAGGGACACCTTCCACTAGAGCAGCTTGCTCCAAGCCGCTGTGTCCAACCTGGCCTTGAACACTGCCAGGGATGGGGCAGCCACAGCTTCTCTGGGCACCCTGTGCCAGCGCCTCAGCACCCTCACAGGGAAGAGCTTCTGCCTAAGAGCTCATCTCAGTCTCCCCTCGGGCAGGTTCAAGCCATTCCCCTTGGTCTGTCCCTACAGGCCCTTGTCCAAAGCCCCTCTCCAGCTTTCCTGCAGCCCCTTTAGGCACTGGAGCTGCTCTCAGGTCTCCCCTTAAGGGCAGCCCTCGCAGCATCTCCATGGCCTCCTCTGGCCTCGCTCCAGCAGCTCCACGTCCCTCTTGTGCTGCTGCCCCAGAGCTGGATCAGGACTGCAGGGGGGTACTCCTCAGAGCACAGCAGAGGGGGAAAATCCCCTCCCACGAGGCTCTGGGTCTTGAGCAGCAGATCGAGGGAGGAACAGCTCTGCTGCTCCCATGTACAGCCCAGCACACAGGGAGGTTCTGGGCTCAAGTGCATACTGAGTCCAGGTCATGAGGAACTTCTCTTCACCCAGCACCCCCAAGTCCTCCTCAGGGCTGCTCCATCCAGTCTATGCCCAGCCTGTGTCTGTGCTTGGCATTGCCTCGATCCAGGTGCAGGACCTTGCACTTGGCCCTTCTAGGCATTTTCCCCAGGCCGCCCTTCAAATTCACTGTGGGCTGCACTACTGCCTGTGTGTCCCTCCTCCAAGCGTACATGCCCTTGCTCACTGGACGGGGCCCCTTGGTAGCCTCACCTACCTCACCATTTAGCTAAGCCAACCTCCTTTCTCAAAGCAGACATCTGCCCTGAACCTCCAAACTGGAGTCTCCAGGCATTCCCCATAAGGCTGAGGTTGTGGCTCCCCCGACCAACAAGCTGCTCCACTTTCTTTTCTACGAGCGGTAACATTTGTAGCTGAGTGAAACTGGTGTTTTATTCCTACAGGAGCATACATGCCAAGTACATGGTGGAGAAGATCCCACAGAGGATCATGAGCTTCCCTATATCACCTGTCTGTGGGCATGTGAACGTGCACTCAATGTAGGTGGCAAGCAAGGACACCCCTACCCCCTTGCTGTATTTCTTCTTGCATTTTTCCCACTGAAAGACAAACAGCTGGTTGTCCTCATTGCTGTGTTTATCTGTGTGATTTCTTTTCGTGTGACCATCCTCTGCCCCAAAGTGATCCAGATCATGTATCATGGGGGCCAACTCTGGATGTTGGTGTTAATCTGTCTGAGGACAGGGAAGGGAGCTAGTGAGAGCCAGTGGGAGCACTTTGTGCAGCAGATTTGGATACAGAGAAGCCATATGGGAGCTGGGAGCTGACTTTCATGGAGCTACACACAGTTAATCATCCATGTTCACACACCCAACTATCCACCTCTTCCAGGCTGCAGCACCTCTTCAGTTCCCAAGCCAGCAGAGAGCATATGGCATTGTGTGGAGAAGAAAATTGGAAATTTGTGTCTCAAGTCGCACCATGGTGAGCAGACAGCCAGCCGGGACTGAAATTCCTCTATCTAAACGGAAATGAGCACCACCTCTGCCATCAGGGAGGGATCACCTGTCCCCACTCCTCCAGTCCTAGCACACAGAGACCATAGACAGACCTGCTGTGCTTCTGAATAGGTAGCACAGCAGGGCGGTCACAATGCAAGGATGCACACCCCCAGTGACACCATGAGAGACCCTGTCCCATCCCTGCTTCAAAAAAGATGATCCCACTCCACCCCTGAGCAACTCATGAGTGTGTCAAAATAATTGCCTGCTACAGGGAAACCCAACCTTGTGTCCTGACAGGCATTCATACTTGCTAACAGACATTTACTGCAGCTGCCAAGATGGAATGAGAAGTATGATGATGAAAGAAGGATCTTGCTGCTAATGGCCCGTAGCAGGAACAGACCAGCAGGGGGAATTGCCCAATGCTGACATGGAATACAACTGCTACCAGTGTGAATTACCTTGCCGCCTGTAGGGCTGACAATGCCAGAGCCATAAAGCCTGAGGTCGCCCTGAATGATGGATTTTCATTGGGACTGTCAGCTGAGTGGGGCAGTGTGGGGTCTGTGATGCACAGGGGACCGAGCAACATCTCTATGTTTGCTCTCTTGCTTGCTGTGGTATATGATGTACTGCTTCCTTCAGGACTGGCTGGAAGTCAAACTCAAGGGCAAGAGCCCTCACCAGGTAGGCAATGCACTCTCCAGCCCTTCCTGGTACCACCTACACCACTTCACCCAGCCTGTGGCATCTGGGAGCTCAGCTACAAGTCACAGCAGAGAAAAGGCGAGATGGTTTTTAGCTCAGCCCCTCTGGGGAAACAAACAAACAAACAATAAAAACCCAAACCAACCAAGAAACAAAACAACAACAAAAAAGTCCACCACACACAGGAAAATACCAACCAAACCAACCTACCAACCAACCAAAAAAAAAGAAAAAAAAAAACAAACCAGGAATTACCTTACTTACAAGAAACTGAAGCTGTCTCAGCTTGTACTTCCTTCTTCCAGCCCCAGCTAACTCCAGCTGGCAGCTCTCTGGTCACCAGCATCACAAACATGGCTATAGACCTTCCCAGGGCAAGGAATGCCTCTCCCATGCTTCCTTCACAGGCCAACACAGGCTATGGCCGTGAGTCACAACTTCCTCACTTTCTTGATGCCTGGGTGGGCACATTCTGTGACTTTGAGCGACAACACTCTTCTCTGGACTACCCTCTGAAGAATTTATGGGGGCTCTGATATCCCAGTTTTCCCCTTTTGGACTCTCAAGCCAACAGGTCAATGAAGGAAGCCACTGGCATCCCATAAACATCCCCTAAGACTTCAGCAACAGGAGGTGTGCTTGGGGCTCTGGCTTAAATGACATTCAGCAAGACACTGGGTCTTGCTGCCCACTAGACACTCTCCATTACCTCTGGCAGGACACCTGGTTACCACACAGCTGACAGTGGGACATGAGGCAGGATAGCGCAGGATGGAGGTGCCAGGCTGCACCTCAGCCCCTGTAACACATGGTTACAAGAGTCACTGAGCAGATGGGGGGAGAGGAGGCTCTGACATCCTGTGCGTGTAGAAGGAAAAGGGAATTGAGTGCAGCACAGAGCCTGCAATCTTTACCACACATTACCAGCTAGAGTTGGGAGTTGCTCTGATGTCAGGACATGATGCTGGTGTCTTGCACACATGCAGAAAGTATGTGCCTGTCCAGAGGCTGCAAGGCACCTATGTGGGAAAGAAGCTAATGCGTGAACCAAAATTAGGATGCCATGAGCACATGGAAATTACACTATGCCACATGGAGTGCCCACCCACTGCACACACAGTAAATCCAAGAGACAAATCAGCAGACTATTCCTCTTGGAGAGGGGCAGTGGCATGTATGAATAATGACTTAAGGCACTCTAGACAGGGGCAAAGAGATGCAAGAGCCTTCCCTGATAATCAGGACATGCTTGTGCATGGTCAGAAAGAACACACTAAAACCAGACGTGCTGTGAATTTGCAGAGAGGTAACCCTTAATGAGAGCAGTAGATCAGGACACTGTGCATGCAGAGAGAGGCTGTAATGCTGCATAGGGGCAGTAAATCACAGTGCAGTGACATGTGCAGCAAGTCTACCCCGTACAGGAGCAGTGAGAGAGGACACGTGCAGGGAGCCCATTGATCCCACACAGGCAAAGATAAGGACTTGCAGTGCACTGCCATTTAATGGAGAACAATTCAGCATGCATACATTTATCCTGGAAATTAAGAGAAAGACTTGTAGCTGTGCAGGTCTGTCCTGGGTTCAGCAGTAGCAGTCATTTTTCCCCTTCTTGGTAGCTGGTGCAGTGCAGTGTTTTGACTTTCAGCTCGGGAACAGAGCTGATAACAAGGATGTTTTGGTTTGGCCAAGGACTTTGTGAGCCTCATGCTCTGCCAGGGAGGAGGGGAAGCCAGGAGGAAGCAGAGACAGGACACCTGACCCAAACTGACCAAAGAGGTATTCCATACCACAGCACGTCATGCCCAGGATGTAACTGAGAGTTACCCGGAAGGGCTGGGAGACTGCGGGATTAGAGGAGGTATCGGTCAGAGCTTGGTCGGGCTGGGGGGGGGCGAGTTATCGGTCGGCTGGTGGTGAGATGATGTATTCTCTTCCCTTGTTATTTCCTTTATCATTATTATCATTGGTGGTAGCAGTAGTGATTTGTGTTATACCTTAGTTACTAAACTGTTCTTATCTCAACCCGTGAGAGTTGCATTCTTTTCGATTCTCCTCTCCGTCCCTCCGAGAGCAGGGGGAGAGCAAGAAAAGGGGGGGAAGTGAGCGAACGAATTACCTGACTGGGTTTAAACCACGACAGTTCTTTTTGGCGCCCAACGTGGGGCACGAGGGGTTGAGATAACGACAGATTTGACTGGATTAATAGTCACTCGTCACAATGCTGATTTATTGGCTCTCAGAGTTGTTCTTGTTGATCTCACAGCTTCAGAATGTTGTAACTTACTTAGAGCCGGTATTTGCTGTATTAGTGTTTATCAAGTGTGGGGCTTGGGCTAAGGTTCTTGTCTCACTGTGCTTTATGGCAATGGCTTGTAATATGGACGGGCTCCAGCAGCAGGGCGGGACGGACGTGGCCGTGGACTTGTACCTGGCCGTCC